GCACACATGGCATATAAAGAACGAGCAAAGATTTAATGACGAGTTAGTTTTAACATGGGAGGGAATATAGAGCGAGTGCAGAGAGTTTTAGCGAGCTCAGAGTTGATTCAGGGTAACAGAGGCCAATGCTTTTCATTTTCTGCAGTCAGGTTTTAATCATTTTTGGAAATTAGTGAACTGAATAGAAACAAGTGAAAGCCGCCTTGTGGAAATGGAATTCTGCGAATGTGTGGAGAGTGGCTGCTTTGTTTTGGAGAGCCATACCCATGGGAGCACCATAGGCAATGAAGGTGTAATTCGGTGAAACTCATCTTCATTTTGACAGCTTCTCCTCAGGCGGTAATGACATTAAGTGATGTGAGCCAATCTAGCGTGTTTCTATTTCCTGGTTTCTAGATGAAGAGGCTTCCTGATTGGCCTCACACTAAGGCAAAGGCCTTTTAAAGTTTGCGGAGGCAGTTGATGGTGAAACTGATTGCAGTAATGGATATGTTGAACAATTGTGTTCAATTTTTCATGAGCGAGCACAACAGAAAAAGAAAAGGAAACATGCTGTCTTTCTGAAGTCCACATATCAGGATATAAGACACACCCAAAGGACACAGTCAACTTTGTAGATTCCTCCTGTCATTTCCCTAATCCTGATGTTCACACTCCAATGGCGAGACTTGAGGGACAAGGAGATGGGAGATGTGAGAATGAGAGACAGAGAGAGACCAGGGTTGTGATGGCTGTCTATGTGCGGTCCCAGGAGTGTGAGGAGGGTTGGGGCTGGCTGGACCAGGCTAGCCGGAAGCTAGAGCATGCCTGACAAGCCGCATCGGAGCCACTGACACATCTGTGAGTCTGAGCACTGACTGAAGTGGACACTACAGGATGCAACACAGCCAGAATCTCAAACACAGTCACTCAGGCAGGGCCATTTGAATGGCATTACTATGTATTCTGCAAAGTGTGTCAAACTGATTTAAAAAGTCTGAGCCCTTAAAACACATATTAGCTCCTTATATAACTAACAAATCATGTTAGGATAATGCAGTGGTTTCCTTAACGGAAAAAAGAAGATTGAAATCAGATTAAAGCAGATTGAGTTTAGAATTGAAACCATGCACTATTGGAGGAATGGTAAAAGCACTATTGACCATTTCACAGTGCAAATCACATTCACCCATTTACACTAGAGTGTGGATCCCTGACCCGAGCCTGTCAGGACCCAACGAGTGTACTGGTATGGACAAATGTTTTTTAAATCCTTTTTAAGGTTCAGGTTGGATTTGTCCATGATTGACCATGTGCTAATTTTCTCTTGGGCTTGGTCGGGTTCTGGACAGAATTTTTCTATCACTCCCCATCGAGCACCTTGCCCATGGACACTTTGACATGCAGACTCAAGGAGCCAGGGATCGATCCACCAATCCTCTGGTTAGTGGCCGACCCCCTGAGCCACAGCTGCCCGAGGAAGGAAGTAAAACCCACTTACATCCCGAAAAAGTAACAAAAGCATAAGCTGGTTTTAGAATGAGAGAAGAATCTATCTGAACTTAAATATGTGTTTGATTAATCTGTGTGAACACTAGCAGTCTCACAAACAACAACTAAGAACAGCTGAAGAGCTGAACGAGGCCCTGTGTGGGATAATGAGTCTTTTTACAACATCTCTGGGAGTGAATTTTCTGCTAATGTTGAGCTGAGCTAACTACTGTAGTCAGTGTTTAACTTCCACCATGTTCTTCTTCTCCTGCTGATCTGGGAGCTACGTGTTTAATTTTACTGCTGTAACTTAATAATGCCTGTTCATATTTAGTTAAAACCCAAAAAAAATCTCCATTGTTGAACGGAAATGAAACAAACTGTGGCTCATTTCTTATGTTTGCTGCTTAATTAAGAACTTTTCCTGTAGTTGCGGGTGTCACTGTTCTAGTAATTTGCTAATGTTAATTTTGTCACTGGGTAAAGATGTGTGCAAGTACGTGCCACATTTTAGTCTGTGCTTTTCCAGCAGCACACAGCAGCTTCCATGGACCTTGGGTTCGTGCCTTGTAGCATAAAAACAACATAACTGAGTTTTACTAGAAGAGATTATAGGTGCAGGTCATTAAAGTGAATTTTTATGTTGGGTTTTGTATACATATTAAAAATCCTTGTTAAAGTTTAAGTGAGGCTTCAGTGGTTTTCCCCAGAGCTGTGGCTGTGTTTGTCATTGGGTGAAGTCTAGGCAGTATCCAGGATCCAGTGTAGAAAGAAGAAAGAAAAAAAAAAAAGAAAAGAAACTCCTCCAATGGTCCCACAAAGTCTTTGAGAAAATCACTTTTTTTCCCCTTGCTGATTCAAATTTCTCCTCTTTTCCCCCCATATATCAGAGAAAGTTTGGTTTAACCCGCGGAGTGCAAATTGCTCTTGCTCACTTTGCACCAGTACTCTTCCACCTGGTATCCCTGTGCTTCAATCTCTGGAAACATCTTTTCTGAGATGGGCTAGTGCTGGGAGATTCATTTGGGCCTGGAATTGCACACATCACTGCAATATTGAATCTAACCAAGCCAGACTGCAGCAAAAAGGACATTTGGACCGGGTGAAATTGGATATTCTAGTAGTTCAATAAGTGTGATGCCGGGGCTGGATGGAGGCAAAGGCAATTATTCATGTTCAGCAGTGAAGTTGACCAAAGTCTGAGTTGCTTTCAAATAACAACACATCTTAATGGTATCATTACTGCTCTTAGTAGAGCTGATGACACCTCTCTGATGCCCTCTCGATAAAACAAGTCCAGCTGCTTTTGACTTAGTTGTGCCACATAGACTGGATGATGGAGAATATCTAGTGTATCATTGCTAACCCACTGTGTTCCTATCGAGCTGCGACTTCACTGCTTCCTGTGGGTGAGGATCAGCTTCCCTCTGCAGCTTTTCTAAATAGAGAAATTGTTTGCAAGAAAAGGTCAGCGCTGTTAATTATACACCTCGCGAGGATGAATGTCCCTGTGAGATTGAAGGTGGTGTTCATAAAGTGTCTCCTAATAAAGCGGACAGGTCTGAACCTTTAATGTTGTCATTATTGCTCTTTGAAGCATGTTCTCTCAAACTGCGATTTGAGCCAGCGTATGTCACACGTGTGCTGGCTCAAGTCAAATTAGGCGTGAAAGTACAAGGTGCGTGGACAGTGGTGCTTTCAGAGAACTAAGAAAGTGGGGTGGATCCCTTTGACCACATTTCACAGCTCTATTGACTGTTAACAAAAAATGGACTAAAATAAATAATGCTTTGAATTCAGCTTCATATCTCCGACAGGCAGCAGCCGTATAATTACAGGCCATATTTCTTTTACTGTGATTACTAATTCAAACAAGGGAAAACTTCCTACAAATGTCAGCGATGAATCTCAAGATTAGGGAACTATCTGAAAAGAATATTAAGCTGTATGGAAAATCTCCAGATAATTGTGTCCTGGCATTTTCCTGTGATTGCCTTTCACATAAGAAGATTGCAGATTGTCTGAGTCAGACATGTCCACAATAACAGGAACATTTCGTGCTAACTGGGTAGAGCATGTAGGAGGCAGGACATGACATATAAATGCTGCTGTGGAAAGCACAGTGTTTTTGTGAACAGTACATCAACGTTAGCCCTTATCACCAAAAGCTCTCAAATCCTGGTGCATTTCTGAATTGGCAAATTCATCGGTGACTTCCAAATGAATGGCACCTTGTTTTCAAACTGGTATATTTGTATTCTTCTAGTGCCACGTCTGTTTCGAAATGCCATCAACACACCCACATGCTCCCTGTGAATTTCCTGGACAATTTTACTGCTGTTTTCTCACAGAACCCCTAACCCAGACATTTTATGGACATTTTACGTGGGGGGCTGGCAGGAAAAGTTCCGGAAAATGTCTGGAGCAACTGGCTTGGACATTCACATTCCCACAGACAGCCCCATTTAGATCATTTCAGGAAGAAATCTGGACTTCAGTGCATGTCTGAGAGCAGCTTTACTCGCATAAATCTTTGCTGCTGCCAGGACCAGCACATGCTATAAAAGGCTTTTAAAGACACGAGAGAAGAGCAAAAACACCTATCACATTACTAATGAGATGCCAGATCATTAGCATTAGAGAAAAGAGCAAAATCACTTGGTTCAATCTGATGAGATATTCAAGTCTTGATTGTGATCATTTTGGAAAAGATTGGATCTATTTTTTTCCAAATGCCAGATTGGATTACTGTTATCTGTGGTGTTGTCCACAGTTCTGGTGTATAATGACGACTGATTTATGGATGATGCATCAGGATAATAGCCCAGGATTTGGCCCATTTTTTTCTGCATGTTACGCAAGCACATAATGTAATCTATATGATTTAATGGAGCGCAAGATAAAACACTGAATCAAAAAGACGCATTGCGCTGTGCACTAATGGAATATGTAAGTGAATCCTGAAATGTTGAACAGCATCTTTAGTGCACTTACCAGGAGCTGAGTGTGCTGGCTGATATTATTTGTTTGCTCTCAGAGTGATCTGAGGCTGTGCCGCTGTGCTGTGGGGATGGAGCTTGATGGACGTTGAGAGGTGCTTGGCTGTGGCCTACTGTAGTGGCTGATCTGTCTGGGATCAATAGCAGCTAATTACAGCCCACATTGATCCAGAGGGCTCACTAATTTAGAGCCGAGCCCAGGCCCTCTCCATACAGAGCCAGTGGAGCAACTCCAATCCCAGCCCTCTGGCCCTGCAAACATCTCACTCAGCACTCAGCAGCTCATTATCTCCAAGGAGCAACTGGTGGGGCATTTGTCTCCCTCCTTGGATCAGCCTCAACACTGGCAGACTACAGATACCTGAACTCGACTGTATGGATTCTTACACGTCATCTATATCTGAGTCTCCCTTCTTTTATCTACGTCTGAGCAGACAGACATGACTCTTTTAGTAGCTTTTCAAAGAGCCGGGAGTTAAAGCAGAGCTCCTGCTTCAGCCTGAACAGGTAAATAAATCAAGTAACTCTTACCTTGACCTTTAAGCCTTTTTCTTGGATGTCGAGGTTAAAAAAAAAATCTTGGTGGATTTTCCTTGGTGTTGCATTTCATGAAAAAGTAGTCCAGCCTGCTTTGGGCCTTCATCACAGCAAACTCCAGACTCACCAAACAAAGAGGCTCCATGCACAGGTGGGCAGCTGATGAGCTAGTCACATGACTTCCTGTCAGGTAACCAAACAGGAAGCATTCATGTTAAAACCATGTTTCAAAATAAAATGCATATAAAGCTACATGAAACCACTTTCCTGTCTGAACTTTCATATCCTGGCTTATTTGAAGCTTGTATTCATGATGACATTCTGTCATCTCCATAAGGTAAGGTGGTTTTTGTTAGATACAACATCAAGTGTATGCCTATTCTGGAAGATCCCTCCTCCACAACATAGGATAAGAGCCACTTAAAGGCAAAAAAATCCTAAGATTTCAACAATAAAGTTTTTATGCAAGAAGTATAACTTTAGAAACTTTAAAGAAAAAAAAACACGTAAAATTTAAGAAAAAAATCTGTGTCTATTCACAAACACTGAGGTTGGTAAATTATCATTTTGGACCCAGAAGAAATTAAATTCCAGCGAGAACCTGTTCTCCTGACTGCTTATTTCCTCCAATTTTTCTTTATTCTTGTGATATCATAACTTGTTTCTCATTAAATGATGACTTTATTCTCATAATGCTATGACTTCTTTTCTTGTTAAATTAAACTTTAATACTCGTACTCCTCTGCTTCTCTTCTTTCTTTCCTTGTTAAATGGTTTTGTTGTGTCTAAGAATAGATTATGATGTATTCTGTACAGATGGTAAAGCCCTTTGAGACACAATTGTAATTTGTGATTATGGGCTCTAAGAATAAAACTGACTTGACTTTAAGTAAATACTGATTACCTCCATTTTCCATACGCACACCATGAAAAGTCTCTGCACATCTTTTCTATTATTGCCGAAAGAAAACTTGGAGCTCTTTATTCAAACCATCTGTTTGAACTGTAAAGAGGTAATACTTTGGATTCCTATTCCAGCGTGCATGTGCGAGCACGTACATTGGCTTGTGTGCCTCCAAGATCAAGGCCATGATCTTTTTCATCCCCTGCCCTCCTCCAAGCTTTGATCTGACATGTGAATGTTGCACCTTCTGTTCTAGCATCATTATGTCCCTACACACAGCAACTGCACTGCAACTGCCTGTGGGATGTTTGGTGTAACTTGGCTTCTGTCTTTTTTTGGTGAATCTGACCTGGCGTCAATGACCCATTCTGACCCCACCCGAGGAGAACAAATACAGAAAAGGAAACTGGAGGAAAAATAGTGGCGCTCAAATACTCACCAACAGCTCACACGCAGAGAAGACGTGGGCAGTCTAACCATGCTAGACACATCTGTCCTTCAGCGTATGACCTCTGCTTTACAAAAGCATTCAGCTCAGACTAAGCTCTGTTTTTGCCATCCTATCTTAGCAATTTTAACGCTATTCAACTCCACAAGATTGCCTCAATCTGCAGCTATTATAGCACATCGCCACTCTTCCAGATTGAGCATTTTCACTCACACACCTATCCCCTTCTTCTCCTGTTTTTCATCCGTCTCACCCCATTTCCGTCTCTTGCTCCAATTGCGGGGCTACCCCAGGCTCTCCTAAAAGTCCACATTCACTGTGGCTGAATTCAGCTGAGGGGGAGCTAGGGGTGTAATTGCTTTTTGTACTTTGGCATGGCCATCTAATAGCATTGGTAAGCACATGCATGCTCACAGACACACACACACACATGAACAGGGCTAAATTTCCTCTCTCTGACACAAACACACACACACTGAGAACAACAGAGGTACACACACCACCCAGAACCATCATAGAGACGGGGGTTGTCATTATTTTGGAAAAGGCTTGAGTGTCTCTTGTCCTGCTGTGCTGGGCATAAGCAGTAATGGAAATCTGTGCTAATATCATGTGATGAATCAGGCTCAGGAAGCTCAAATAATTCCTCCTGGGTTTTTTAAATATGCATTTTACCTTAAATTGCCTGGATAAAAGAATCATTAATAGCCCAAAGGTTTGAAAATTGGAGTTTGAAAGCTAGACATACGGCAGCACTATGTGGTCTCAGATTCAGAGATGTCTCTAAAATTATACTCAACAAAAGGCATATGTTTTACTTTGGTGAAGGACTGTTCCAATTTTTTGAGATAAGGCAAAAATAGCGTGCTAGGCCACCGGATTGTTCTCTTCTCAGGAAAGTTGGGGTGAGAGAACGGTCAAATGATTCTCCCTAAATCCTCCTAAGTTGTGCACAGTCAGGGACAGTGATAAACTTTTAGACTCCCTCACACTGCAGTAAAACTACACACCCTAACAATACCAGTGAGACAACACTCGCACACACAGTCGTGTCATAGAAATCCTGCTCACACTAGTAAAATATGTTGAGCACAGACAAACTTAAAAATTCAAAGAAACCCTCATACCCACACACAGTTATTGAAATGCTATTCGAAAAAACTTGAATAAATAAAGCACCTGCTTAGAAAGAACTTTCTCTTTCAGCAAACTTGGCTATAATACCATCTCAGACTTAAAATCAGCTCACGACTACAAGTTTTCTGCACTGTTAATATGTCATTTGTTCTGATCACAGGGCCAGAGCAGCTGTTTAAATCCGGTATATTTCAAATCAGATGATATTTTAAAAACAAAAATGTAGCCACAAGCAAAGCTCAGAAACTAGTGTGATACTTGTATGCTTTATTTAATATTATTCGCTGCTGTTTGATCTCAGCATTGCCTTTAATTGTTTCATATTGTTTGCCTTCAACTTGTCATTTTTAACTTGTGAAGCACCTTGTAACTATGTGTTGAAAGGTGCCATATAAATAAAGTTTGTCCTTATTATCATTGTTTGAAATCAGGGACTGTGACACGGATGCTGTGGGTGCCTAAATAAAACCATTGACTCATCAAATATTGTCACTTCGAGCAGATGCTCTGTTCCAAGATTTGTTATTAATAACAACAACATTTCATCTCATCATAGAAAACCTGGCCCAACCAGCACTGGGCAGCTTTAGTGTCTAAGTTAGTATTTACTGTTTACGAGTC